AGAGAATGAGAAGAATGAAGCTCCCTTTGCAGTGTCTCTTGGTGACAGCACTGTCCCCAAGAGGGTTCAGAGGCAGAAACTGTTTCTCCAGCAAGTCAAGGTGGGCTGAGACCATGGGTGCTACCCATTAGGAGAGCTCAGCACCCTGTGGGCACAGCAGCCCCCCTGTCCTGTGAGGGTGGTAGTTCCTGTCACTGTGCCCTGCTGCCTTCCCTCACCAGGTCTCCAAAGCCCCAAGCGGTGTGGAGGGGAGAGGAGTCAGGCAGCAGTTTGTGGGATGAGAGCCATATGTGACAGCAGTATTCACCTGCTGTTGAGGGGCAGGGGGAGGTGATTAGGTTGCCCAGAAAACAGAAAAGCTGTGGCATTTTCTCCTTGTAGCTTTCAGCAGGGTGCAGAAGCTTTCCTGGGGACATGTTCAGCAAGAGCAGCAGGAATTTTTCTTTTCAGAGTTGTTCTCTGCCTTCTCATGCTGTTCTTCTGTGCTCTAACCAGAGTCAAGAGCGCGGGAATTCCCCTACTCAAGTGGTGGTGAGGTTGTGTTTCCATGTGCATATGTCTCCCAAGTTCCAGCAGGACAAGGCCATGGGCACCCAAATCATAGAATTATAGAATCATGGAATGCTTAAGGTTGGAAGGGACCTCAGAGGTCATCTAGTCCAACCCCCATGCTCACACAGGGTCACCTAGAGCACGTGGCACAGGGCTGCGTCCAAGTGGGTTTTAAAGATCTCCAAAGAAGGAGACTCCACAACCTCTCTGGGCAGCCTGTTCCAGTGCTCTGTCACCCTCACTGTCAGAAAGTGTTTTCTCAAGTTCCTGTGGAACTTTTGGTGCCTCAGCTTGCGGCCGTTTCCTCTAGTTTTATTGCTGTCCACCACTGAAAAGAGGCCGGCCCCTCCTCCTCACTGCCTCCCTTGAGGTATTTACAGACACTGCTCAGGTCTCCCCTCAGCCTTCTCTTCTCCAGGCTGAACAGGCCCAGCTCTCTCAGCCTTTGCTCATAGGACAGATGTTCCAGGTCTCTTTCAGAGACCAAGGTCTAGATGTGGGGTTCATATCCCTGGGAACACTGCCAGGGGAGATGCTCAATGATCTCTGAATTGCACGCTTGAGTCCGTTGTGGAGGTGACAGTGCTGATGGCAGATGGCCATCCTTGTGATAGGGAACGTGAGGCTGCAGGAGGACTCAGGGCATCTCCAGGGATATGTGGGGGTGGGCAGTGAGTGCAGCCTCACCAAACAAGGGGCAGTCCATGGTAGGAGGACCCAAAGACAAAGCACTAAATTCAGGCAAGCCTGGGGACAGGAGGGCTCTGCAATCCCAGGAGAGGCAGTGGGGGCCCTAGCAAGCTCCAGGGGAGCACTGGAGAGGGATTCAGGCACTCGCAGGGAAACACCAGAGGCCAGAGCTAGCGCAACCCAGAAAACATCTCCTGGCATTGCAAACAACCTGGGGTCACTCTGAGGAGCATTCAGGAGCACAGACACGTGGCAGTAGTGTGAGTTGTGGGGGAGCCCTGATTGTCTGGCTCTGCTTCCCACTCCAAACTGCAGAAAATCTCGCTATCGAGAACTGAATATCTACAAAGGAAACAGAGAAGACCTAAAACTTTATTCGAATAAAGAGAGTCCATGAGGGCATACCCCTGTGGGCTCTCTCAAATTACAGAAGAGCACAGCCTGCTTTTATCCTAATTTCCCAACTGACGTATGCCTTCTGCTTTTCCCCACTGGCTAAGGTACTCAGAAGTTACAGAGATCCTGGCCCGCCTAACGTATGTTGCTCCTTGATGTGTTCCCCATTCCTGATCATACATCGCATGTCTAATTAAAGTGAATTTATGCCTCCCTGCATTCACAAACACTCTGTTGACTCTAGATCTGGTCACATTCAAAACAATTAATGCACTTCACAAAGAGTAGAATGTATTCTGTTTCAACCTTTACCAAGCAGGTTTTGCATGTCAGTACAGGAAGTTCTCTACTATCCCATGGGGCTCTTAGCTACCTGTAATGGACAAATGTGCAGTACTCACCYACCCAAGAAGATGGGAGAGATCACAGAAGGGTTGAGGCAGAAGCTGTTTTGGGCCCTGTCCATACTCAGCACAGAGTTCCTAGAGTCCAGGTGTCCCTGGGAGCACCCAGGTTGGTGTGTTTTGTCTGAGATAATGCCCAGAGTCAGCAATAAATGAGCTCGCTTCAGAAGAGCCCCTGCCTATGTCAGCTCAGCTCCCCTTCTTCACCATCCTTGTGCTCTCCTTGGTGCCATCTCTGCTGCCCACCTCTCCCTTCAGCCCCATTGCTCACATTGCTCCCACTCTCCTGCCAGCCTGAGAGCCCATCTGAAGGCTGAGAGCAGGTGTCACCTGCCGCTCCTTGTCCATGTTCAGGATCCTCTTGTGGGGAACTGACACTGGCACCAAGGGGAGCTGCTCCCTCCTGATGGAGCTGCTCTTCTCAGAGTGGAGACCTTGGGGTCTGTTCTCCCTACAGGGGCATTGTCACCATGGGGACCACCTCCTCACAATGGCCTTGTGGGTGTGATGCCACCCCCTCACAAAGCCCTAGTGGTCGCCATGGGGATCCCCATCCTGATGCCTTGGTGGTGACCATCACAATGTCCTGACCATCTCCATGGGGACACCCACCCCCACATCCTTACCTCCAAATTCTAGTCCCAGTTTCAGAGCCCGCTTCGGAGCTGCTGACTGGGGAGCAGGATGAAGTTTCCTCTCTCCAGTTCTGCGCTATCAGGCTGCACTTCTTCAGGCCTCCATAGCAGAGATCTACACAAGGCCACCACTCTTGCTCTGCCTTTTCATCCTCACCCTTACACTACCCACTGGCTCTCTGTCCATCCCTAGGCAGAGCTCCCTGCACCTCATGGCTCTCTCTGGGGTTTCCTTTGTCCACATTCTCTGCACCTTTCCCTGCCATCCCAGGCCATCACTTCCTCTCTCTTGCTGGAGTCTTCTTCTCCCATGAGTAACTCCCAATTTATTACTCTCCTCATCCACCTGGCCAAACGGTTGATGACCATTCGGTTGGCACATGGGAACAGTCTCCTTCCAAATGAAGTGTGACAACTTGTTAGCCAGCTCCCTTGCTGTAGGTTCATCTCCAGGACCCCTCAAGCCTGAGAGCTTCTGTAGTGTCATGGCTGCCCTCAGCACCCCATGGTGGTCAGCTCCAGAAGAGCTCTGCTCTGCAGGACTTGGTTTGGCCTCAGAAGAGGGTGTGTGCAGACATAAGATGAGCCAGGGCAGAGCCTGTGGGCTGACACTAGGGCAGAACCTGGGTCAGAAGGGCTGAGACAGAAGCTCCAGCTGCTCCTTTCTGCCTTCAGGCAGGAGGTGACACATCTAGGGGTGCTCCTGAGAGTGACATGAGAGAGGGGACACTGGGAGCTGCAGACCTTGGCGCCAACTCTCTGTGCTGGATCTGGGAGAACTGGCAGGTGGTGCCGCTGGCTGCAGCCCTGAAAGATGCCCCAGCCCCACTAGCAGCACTGAGTCCCCTTCCACAACCAACAGGAGCTTCTGGAGCATCATGGCTCTCATTTGCACTCCATTCCTGCCTGGGGCCAGCTCTGCTGCCCTGCACATGGCCCCTGTGCAGGCACCACCCAGCGCAAGGTGTGAGCAGGGGCAGGGAACCATCTGCTCAGCAGGGTTCCC